CCTCTATCACAGAAACAGTTTTGCTTGAAACCACTTTGTCTACCCCCCCCACACACACACTTCTTCATACCTCCTTGTCTATTTAAATCATTTCTACAGAGCTGAGATTTCCCTGCAGCCCTGCCCAGGTCTGCTGCCCCACTGACACCGCATCTCCCTGTCTGTATATGGTGCACACACATATATGTAGACGAAACACTCACATAAATTCAAATGAATAAACCTAATTTTAAAAATTTAGGGGGAAAAGGGGGAAGAAACTGCACTTTTGGCTTCATTTTTGTCTTGTTTTTGCTTTGCTTTGTTTTGAGAAAGATTCTCACTATGTAGCCCTGGCTGGCTTGCAACCACTTTAGATTGAACATCCAGAAATCTGTGTGCTTCTGCCCGAGACTGAAGGCCTGCATTACCAAGACCCACGGAAACTGCCTCTTGAAAGAAGGCTTCCTGAACCACTTGCTGTCACTCTAGCAACCAAAGCACTCCTATATCATACCTATTGATGGGTTTATTCCACTTTCTATATCTACTGCCAGTAGTCGGTCCCCTAGCTACATCCAGCCTTGCTCCTTTACGGAGAAGTTGTCCTTCCCCCAACAAACTTGCTCAGTCTCAGAAGCGCTGTTTGTTTGGAAGCGCCCAGCCTCCTTCACCGGGTCTAACTCCCGGAGACACTGAGGCAGTCTGTGTGCATTCATTTACTAAACGGTCATCTCCCGCAAGGGCCTGGTTCACTGCCATTTCCTTACTTCTAAGCACATGAAAAGTCTGCAACAACCTGCTGGAAATGCCAAAAAAAAAAAAAAAGAAAGAAAACCAAGTAGGAGACCGTAGGCAGGAGCACCCCCGCAATGGTAGGAGGAGGCCAAACAACACGGTAATGGAGAACCGGCACTGGGGACAAGTGACTGTAGGCAAAGCTTGATTCCTGCCCTGGCGAACCTGCCGAGGTGACTGCGGAATGGCCTCGGCATCTCCGCTCCGGAGAAGCGGCTTACCTCAGCGTCGCGGTTCAGGCGGTACACATAGAGCTGCGAGGTGCCGGCCACCACGAGGTTGCGCTCACTGTTATTGAAGAAGTTGCAGTACATGGCAAACTCCAGCCCGGTGGGCGGGTGTGCCTGCTTATACACCGCGTACATGTTGCCGCCACTGTCACGCCGGAGTCGCCGACTCTCGGGGGAACAGAGACAGCAGCGGACTCGATCCGGCCGCGCGCGCAAACCCAGCCACCAGGTTCCGAGTCTCTGCGCCTGCGCTTCTCGCCCGGACCTGCCTTCTAGGAGGACCGACCTGATAGTTGAGAAACAGGGTTCCGGACTACTTCGTCTGTGCGCCTGTGCGCCTGCGCGCCGCGGCTGCCCTCGAAAAGCGGCCCCTAGTGGCCAGTCTTGGTTATCACTGAAGCTCCAGGTCGAGAGTTGGCGTGTTCCGGACGTCCTCTCGTTCCCACTCCGCTCCTTCCAAGGTTTTCCTCCTTAGCTAAATCTAGAACCTTGAAATCTCAGGCCTCCCAAATGCTGGGATTAAAGACGTGCGCCATACCGCCTGGTTTCCTTGTTTGTTTTTTTGAGTCAGGGTCTTGCTATATAGCCTTGGCTGTCCTGGAACTCCGTGAAGACCCGGCTGGCCTCGAATTCACAGAGATCTGCCTGCTTCTTCCTGCCGAATGCTGGAATTAAAGCCGTACAATCATGCTGGCACATATACACATACTTTAAAAAAATAAAATCTTAGTTGGTGATGGTGGTGCACGCTTTTAATTCCAACACTTGAGAGGCAGAGACAGGTGGATCTCTGAGTTCAAGGACATCCTGGTTTACTGAGTAAGTGAGTACCAGGACAGCCGGGGCTACACAGAGAAATCCTGTCTGGAAAAAAAAAAAAAAACAAAATAAAATAAAATCTTAAGAACAAAAAGTCTTTAAGACCTCTCACATGGTACCTCACACTTGTAATCCTAGCACTCTCAAGGAGGACTGTGCACATTTGAGACCAACGTGGTTACCCATTGTTAACCTGTGTTAGAAGCAGTTGAAACATTTCTCCAAATTGAAACATTCTTTCTGGAGAGAGGTTGCTAGGACTCTGGAAGTCAACAGTATTTGTAAGGTGCAAGGGTTCCTGAGAAACCCAGAGTGGACCTTCCAATACCCTGAGCGCTAAAGTGAATGTGGTCACCCAGGCAGGTGAACTTTTGTCTTGTTTGATTCATTAGTTGGTTTTTCAAGACAGCGTTTCTGTTTAGCCTTGGCTGTCCTGGCTACAAGGCTGGCCTGAAACTCAGGGATCTGCCTGCATCTGACTCCCTAGAGCCTGGTGCTACGTCAGCTTTTCTGTGACCAGCTGCTTTCGAATCATCTTCCCTTCTATAAATAGAACTCTGTGAGTAACCCCAATAAACCCATTAACCAAGTTGGATTTTTGTAAAGTCATTCTTTACTCTGCTGTGGTAACCTCGTTGGGGTAAGGAGATATTTGCTCATAGCTCCCCAAGAAGCCACATGCCACTCTTTCTCAAAAACAAGAAACAAACAACCCAAAGTTCTTTGTAGTGTGCACAGCTTTACCTCCAGCACTAGGAGGCAGAGGCAAGCAGATTGCTGAGTCCAAAGCCCTGGTGTGTGTATGGAGTTACAAACCAATCAAGAACAGTGAGACCCTCCCTAAAATAAATACCTAACATTTATATTATATAAATATGTAAATTCATATAATAAATATATAAACCTCTGAGCCACTTCTCCAGCCCCAAATTTTATTTTATTTTTTTAATTTTCGAGACAGGGTTTCTCCGTAGTTTTTGGTTCCTGTCCTGGAACTAGCTCTTGTAGACCAGGCTGGCCTCTAACTCACAGAGATCCGCCTGCCTCTGCCTCCTGAGTGCTGGGATTAAAGGCGTGCGCCACCATCGCCTGACCAAATTTTAATTAAAAAAAATTATTTATTTATTATGTATACAGTGTTTTGCTGGTATGTATACCTGCAGGCCAGAAGAGGGCATCAGATCTCATCATGGATGGTTGTGAGCCACCATGTGGTTGCTGGAAATTGAATTCAGGACCTCTGGAAGAGCAGCCAATACTTTTAACCTCTCCAACCCCCAAATTTTATTTTATTTTTTTTTTTGAGACAGGGTTTCTCTGTAGCTTTGGAGCCTGTCCTGGAATTCTCTCTGTAGACCAGGGTGGCCTCAAACTCACAGAGACTCACCTGCCTCTGCCTCCTGACATCCAAATTTTAATTTTTTTTTTTTTTTGGTTTTTCGAGACAGGGTTTCTCTGTGGTTTTGGAGCCTGTCCTGGAACTAGCTCTTGTAGACCAGGCTGGTCTCGAACTCACAGAGATCCGCCTGCCTCTGCCTCCCGAGTGCTGGGATTAAAGGTGTGCGCCACCACCGCCCGGCCAAATTTTAATTTTTTAAATGATTTTTTGGACACAAAGTCACACTATGTAGCCCCCAACTGTCTTGGAACTTGAATTTTAAATCATGCTGACCTGAACTCACAGAAATCCACCTGTCTCCTGAATGCTGACATTAAAAGCATTCATCTACATGCCTGGCCTAAGGATCAACACTTTTTTTTTTAATATTTACTTATTTATTTTTTTTATTATGTATACAATATTCTGTCTGTATGCCTGAAGGCCAGAAGAGGGCGCCAGACCTCTTTACAGATGGTTGTGAGCCACCATGTGGTTGCTGGGAATTGAACTCAGGACCTTTGGAAGAGCAGGCAATGCTCTTAACCACTGAGCCATCTCTCCAGCCCAGGATCAACACTTTTTGAAATAAAAAATGTGTGTTCAAATTTAGTTATCTCCCTAGAACCTGCACTGATCTGTATTAGCCAATCACACAGGAATATGAGCTTGAGTGCTAGCCATTCAGTAAGGCCCTGGACCCTTTGTTAGCTATGAAAACCCCTCAGTCCCGCCACTGGGCATTCGTGCTTGCTTGTTGGGGCACAGCCACACAGCCTTGTGCAGAGGTAAATCTTTTGGTCTTGTTGGAATGCTGCGGGTTGTGTGGTGACTTTCTTGAGAACCCAGACTCATTTCTTATGCCTGGTCATAACTTGCTTTTGGTCTTCTGATGTCCAGAAATGAGTGAATAAATTTCAGTTGTTTCAGGCACCTAGTCTAAGGTAGAATTTTATGTCAGCCTCCGAAGACTAATGCAACGGGATCTGAGGTAGCCAGTTGTTCCAAGGGCTGTGGAGTAGCCCCATATCTGCAGGTGGTCCTTCGGTTAGAACACCACTAGGCTGGCAGTAGCATACTTGGTTCAGAGCTCTGCTGTCTGGCCTAGAGCCGAGGAATCAGCCTTGCCAGGGAAGTTAAGCACGTCTTACTCGGCTGGAATGAGGTCTGAAGAAAGAATGAGGAGCATGTGAATGGAATCCAAAGCTTCAAGAACAAAGATCTCTGCTCCCTTGAAAATTCAGACTTGTGTGTCATCATTTTCTTAACAAAATTGTTCTTTGCCAAAAAAAAAAAAAAAAAAAAAAAAAAACAACACCGCTAGGCTTGTGTTCATGACAGAAATGAACCCTCATATATGTGATGGTGATGTTAGTTTTGACTGGAGACAGGGACTCACCTGATCCTGGAGAACACTGACCATTCCCCAGGCTTAATTATAGAAAAGAAAAATCTGGGTAGTGGTTGTGCATGCCTTTAATCCCAGCACTTGAGAGGCAGAATCAGATGGATTTCTGTGAGTTTGAGGCCTGCCTGGTCTACAGAGTGAGTTCCAGGCTCCAAAGCTACTCAGAAAAATTCTATCTCAAAAAAACAAAACAAAAAACAAAACGGGGGGGAAAAAACGAAAGAAAGGAAAGATAAACTGACTGGCTGTCCATAGTAATAAAAATACTTTGAGAAACTCGTCTCAAAAAAAAACAAATCAAAACAAAATACTAGGCAGGCCGAGGAAGGGGGCCGTGCCCCGCCCTACAGCTTTCACCAGGAGGCTCTACAAAGAAAGAGTATTTGTTTTTCATGAACAAGAAGTCTTTATTGAAGTCAGAGCAGAGAAATGAGGCCTCGATCCTCTGGTTACCCAGTGGATCCAAAAATTAGATGACTCAAAAAGGTGAAGCGAGAGACAGGGACGAGGACTGGGAACGGATAGAGCTGTCAGAAAGTGATGTTGTCTTCGTACAATGACAGAAGCAGCAGGACGGTCCAGCCGCCCAGCAGGCCCACATTGTGCAGCAGGAAAAGAAGCCAGGGCCGCCGGTCCTGCACGTTCATCATGGCTGGGAGCTGAGGAGAAATTGAACCCCAGTTCAGTAGCCGGTTGGGTGAACGCCCCCCCCCCTTAGTTTCCCACCCCGGCATAGACTCTCCACCGCCCTAACCATGTCACAAAGCGCCACGTAAAGGAAGAGGCCCGTGGCTACCGCCAGAATCCAAGCCTCGCCCTCCTCCCCTACTCCGACGGCTAGAGCCACGTAGAGGCCAATGAATGCTGTGAGCGCCGAGGCCAGGTTCAGCAAAAGCGCATGCTTCACCGTCAGTCCAGCGTGCAGCAGAGCAGCAAAGTCCCCTAGAACAGAACAAGTCGTAGTAAAAGCTCTGCCCCCTCACACGTCACGTACCGCCTACCAGTTACTCCCACATCGCAGACAGACACACCCATTCAAAGGCCAGTCCAGTCCCCCTTCCACCTCCCGGCAACCCATCCTACCTCTAGCCACGCCCACCTATGACCGGAGCTCCCTTCCAGAAGCCTTGTTCCTTCTCGGATGGATGGCCGCGCTCATCTCTAGAATAGATCACTCCCACTAAGCCCCGCCCATTCAAGCCACACCCCACCGCTCACCCAGTTCGTGGGGCAGCTCATGGCAGAACACCGCCAAAGAGGTGGCCAGCCCAGTCTTCCACGAGGATGCAAAGGCTGCGCCCACAGCAAGCCCATCAGCGAAGTTGTGCACCGCATCACCCAGCGTGATCAGATAGGGCAGCATCCTCAGTTCTGTGGGCAAGGCACGCTAGGTGTCAGGTGTGGGTCCTGTAGGCCAGGTCCTGCAGTTCTGCCTACGGGCAAACCCCAGATCCACAGCCCTCCAGGATCTCCCTTGGGGCTCACCTGATTTCAGTTTCTGGGACTCCGGGTTCAGGAGTTCTGGGCTCTCCTCTGTTACCTGGGGTGAGCAAGAATGAACCCGGGCTCAAGTAGATAACTAAAGGGTTCCATGTGGGGTAGGACGCGATCGCCACTTACCAGATCTGAGCGGGAGGTCTCGTGGGGCTGTTTGGACTGCCGGAGGTCGCTGGGTGCCAGCTGCATCGACACGCCATGGCTGTGTCCACCGTGGCTGAAAGGCCCATCCTTCTCACGATCCTGTGGAAAAACTGTTCAGAGCCTGTCAAGCCCTTACCCATCCCACCTCCTGCTTCACTAGAGCCTGACCTGGTCCCTGGGCAACAGGAGGTTGAAGAAGCTCTCAAACAGGAAGAAGATGTAAAGGCCTCCGAGTACCGCCAGCAGGCGCCAGGTGGCCTGCGCACCAACGCCCACCTCCTCATGGGAGTGGTCTTCCCCACTGTGTGTGTGCAGTCCCAGCACCTGGGGAGGAAGGGACTACTGACTGGGGACTTCAGGGCCACGAGGGTCTGGGGCTAGAAAAAGGCAGGAAAGGGGGTGAGGATCCCGTTGAGTGAGGGCTGACCTTGGGCGTCAGGTGCAGAAGGGCGTCGCCGGTGAGTGCGCCCACAGCCAAGCTTAGGAAGGTCTGCATGATGTAGTGCGTGGCGGTGCTGCATTTGGTACAAGTCAGGAGCAGAAGGCCAAACACGGCACAGAGGCAGATGATCAGGGTTGCCAGAGAGCCATACAGATACCCTGTGGGCGAAACGACACTGAAAGCCCCCAGCTTCCTCAAGAGTCATCCAAGGCCAGCCCAGGAGTGAGCAGGTGCTCAACAGGCCCGTGGGCTGTCAGGTGGGGGCAGGTGTCCATTTACACTGGCCCTCTTGCCCCCAAATCCAGTATTCTTCCCGCCCGCACTGGCTTCTCCTTCCTCAGAGCCCCCATGGAGACCAATGACATGAGGCCAGCACCCAGGGACTGGGCCAGCCAGGCACACCTTGGGGCAGGCACTCACTCTCTGTTTGGCTGAGCTGATCCTGAATTTGGACGGTGGAATGGGAGCTGCAGGCCCCACTTAGCTGCTGCTGGACCAAGGCAGGGCTGAGCTGGGCCCAGGCCTGAGGGCTCACCCCAGTCTCTTCAGACAGCCCATACACAGCCATCACATCTTTGGCACTCAGGCACATCTGGGGGCAGGGGGAGAAGCAAGGGGGTCAGGTGTCTCGGCAGACCCATGGAAACCCATCTTTCTCCAGAACAGAAAGAGTGGCTCACCGTGTCCCACACGCTGGAGCTGCTGTTGTGGGTAGCGAGGGGCTCAGAGTCTTGGTGATTCGCTGCCCTGTCCAGATGACTGTGGTCATCATGGTCACTGTGGTCCTCTCCACCCACCCCAAGTTGATGCATCAAAGCCTCCAGTTCTGGCAGGAAGAACAGTCAGTGAATAGTCTGTGGGCGCCAGCCTTGTCCCCTCCCTCCCCCAGGAGTAGAGGCTGAGAATCTCAGCCTAGGCCTCACCAGCCAGTGTGATATTGGGAGCCTCGCTATTGTGCTGCCGGAACACAAAGTCCACAAAATACTGAGGGCTAGGCAGGCCTTGGAAGCAGGACCCATTAATGACATGGTCCAGCAAAGCAGTCAGGACCAGGCCGGGGCTTCTGGAAGCTCCTACTTCCTCAGCCTCCTCCAGCAGTTGGGGAACATCTACACAGGGCTGGAAAAGAGAGTGGTCTCAGCTCTAATGGCCTCAGCTTCCGGATCCATCCTACCACAGGCCCCTGGAAGAGTCTCCCATCAATCCCAGACTCTTCGGATTACTTCTCGGACATCAGCCGGCCACAGCCCCTCCTTATGCCACCGCCTAGCCCTGTCCCAGCTAGTTTCCGCCTTCACTCTGGCCTTTGACCTCCTCTTTCCAGAGCTTTTCTGACCACCAAAGGGTTCCCCAGACTCCTGATGTCCCTATTCCACTCAACAGCGAACACCCAATTCTCATGCCCAATACACTTCAGCTTCCCAAGTAGTAAGTCAGACGCCAAGGGCTTCACATGGGCCATTTCCCCTGCAGGAGCAGCCTCCCTTCCATGACACGCTGGTCCTTCTCATTACCCCCAGCAAACCCCTGAGCCCTCACCTCCTCCCTGGTGGGTTGGTTGGCAACAGGGGCCTCAATCTTCTGCAGTAGCTGACTCAGACCCAAGGTCATGGCCTCCGGACTCTCCAGTAGGGTCAGGTAATGGTCCACGTGGGAGGCCAAGAGGCCATCTTGGATGTCCTTACATGTTTCTTCTGGGTTGTTAAGGTAGAGGGCAGCGGCAGCACTAAGGAGGCTAATGTATCTGGACTCCAGGACCGGTTCTGGGGCAAGCCCTGGCTTGTCAGGTTTGCCTAGGGTCAAGACCTCCTCAGCAGATAGGCACTATGGGCAGACAGATAAAGAGGATCTGTGTTGAATCAGGTCCACCAGGCACAGGCGGGGAATAGATTCTATCAGCTATCTTATGTCCTGTTTGGCCCTTTGTATGGTTAGCCTACACAGATGGGTCCCCAGTAGTTATTCCCCCTCCTGAAGAGGGGAGGGTGGATGGTCCTGAAGTCACCGTGGGAAATTGTGTGTCCCAAGATGGAGGCCAGGCCTGCATAAGCCCCCAGTTGAGGAGAGGAGGCTCGGCTCCAGCCTGCAAGTAGGTTCAAACACCAGCCTCCAGACCCGCCTCCTGGAGTTTGCCCAGGTCCCTTTGCTGCCTGCCACAGGGTGGAGCGGGCAGGAAGGGGCCGGTGCTGGGGGACCCGTCGGGTGGAGCTGTTACCTTTCCACACGGCCCGTTGGTGCAGTGCACACGGACCGCCAGCGTATTTAACAGGCGGTCCAGTTGCTGCCGATCCAGAGCGCCCTGACCGGAGATGAGCAGGCTTAGCAGGCTACTGTGCTGGACCGCTGGTGCCGTGACCAGCAGCATGGCCAACAGGAGCCCCTGTGTGAGCCGGGCTGGGAACCCCATGCCTCCGGCCCCCAAAGTGCTCCTTGCTGTGATGCTGTGTGAAGACCGCTGGCGTCTGAGCTGGTAGTAGACGGCTGGGGCTGCCTGATACCAGACTGGGGCTGGGCTCAACTTGCCCTAGCACCAGGACTTCTCCCAGGTATTTCCTGCACGGCCCTGTGATTGGCTGCCGGGTTAACCATTCCAGTGGCAGATCCTCCCCGAAAGCCAAGGGGGCAAGGAGCTGCTGCCTCCTGGGGCTGGAGCAGAGTGGGTCCCTTTCCTTAGGTGGGTGCCTGAGCATCCCCTCTCCTGCCTGTCACACCCAGAACTGCCACGCAGAGCCTTCTCTGCTCCCTGAAGAGCCCAGATCACTCCCTCCTTGCCTTGCCTATGGAGGTCAAGCTAGGAGACCAGGGGCAGGCAGAGCTGCAGACGTGTTACCAAGTCAAACATGGGTGTTCTATTTAACGTTTTCAGGAGAGCTCTTAGGCCTACCTCCACCCTTCCTCAGCTGCCTCTCAGCTCAAGCAGCTTAGACAAATCCCAAATCTTGCGGCCTGAGTGGGGGTGGGGGTGGTGTTCTCGTATTCTGGGCTGTGGCCTCTCTGCCCAGCACGGGTTGTAAAGGGAGATACCTGAAAGGCGAAAGGGCTTGCTGAGTCACATTCCCCACCTTCCCCACCTCCAGCCCTTAGGGGAAAATCCCCAGGAAATGGCTAAAGCCCCAACCCAGACAAACAGGAAGAGAAGATGTGACCTTGGTCCTAGCCAACACCTGGCCAGTCTTTGGGGTCTGGAGGAGGTTGAGGCCCTGTCGTGAGTTCTAGGCCTAAGCACAGGATGTTTGGGGTAGGTTTGAGCTTCCCTGCTCCGACCCTCCCTGATCGATCCCTCTTCTAGCCTTTGACCCCAGAGCCTTATCTCTATCCCCAGGTAGGAGACTGGAGGAGGGGTTAGGTCTCCAGGGAGCTGACAATCCCCTCCCTGGTCACAAGGCCTTCTGGCCTTCTGGAAGGGGACTGTGGGTAGCCCTCTTCCACCTAGGTGCATACCACTCCAGACCCTAGCTCTCTGGGGTGTGGTTGGGGTGTGGAGCTGGTAGCCTAATGCCAAGAGGACTCTGTCCCCAAGTATTCTGGAGGATAGGGCAGGGTGGGGGAGAGGATCTAGCCGGGTATCCTGAGCTCAGGGGTCAATTGCTCCTAACACACACACACATTCACGCCAGTGATTCTTATGGCTAGGATCCCTACACTGTGGCTTCCAGTTCTCATCCTACAGAGGAGCTATGCTTGGGATCTGGGAGAGCCAGGGTGAAGACAATGAAAAGAACATTCCAACATGTAGCTCTGAAGATGTCATATAACCAAACTGTCTTTTCCGTTTCCACTGTGGGGGGGCTGAGCCTGGGCTGGTCTCCTTCCCCTGCAGACTGGCTGCCCACTGTTCAAGCACCGTCAGCCTCTAGGGAGAAATCTTAGTGTAGGCTTGGCAGTCCAGGCTACCCTAAGGAGAATTGTCTGAATCCTGGAAGGCCAGTACAGCCAAGCCTCATGCACCCACATCACGTGTCATTGTTGTCCACGTGTCCCTCCCACTGCCACCGTGGCATGGCTGAGGTTTTTATTACCCAGGGATCCTCCCCACCTGTAACAGCTCTCCTAACAACGTGGGAATCAGAAGTGGAAAGCCAAGCTGCCTCACCACCACTAGTCATACGACTTTTAAACTAACTTTACCTTTGTGTGTGTTTGTGTGTGTCGGCAACTTAAATTCAGCTGCTGTATGCGCACATTAGCTACAGTTTAGAAAAGTGCTTTAAACAGCCTTAGTGGCCTCTTAATCCCAGTGAGCTCTGTTCATTGCATTTCCTTCTGAACTAAGGAAGCAATGTCTCAAATGTTTTAAATGGGTATGTACTTTCAGATGATAGATATGTGGTTAGATCTGTTACAACATACTGTCTATGTGATTGAACTCTGCTTTAAAATATGTTTCTATATAATGATAAAAATTTAAGGCTATGAAGATCTACTTCAGACGAACAAGAGCTAACCGACAGCCTTTCCTGTAAGCTGTTCTTCACTGTTGTCTGTTTTACTGTTAAGCTTCTATTGCAAAAACTGTTTTCTTCTTTGTCCTTCACAAGTAAAAATCTAGGGCTGGAGAGATGGCTCAGAGGTTAAGAGAACTGACTGCTGTTCCGGAGGTCCTGAGTTCAATTCCCAGCAACCACATGATGGCTCACACCCATCTATAATGATATCTGTAAAATAAATAAATTATAAATAAATTAAATTTAAAAAACAAGTAAAAATCTGACCTGCTAAGTTAAAACGAGTTACAGTCAAGGTGGAGGACTCTGGGTAAAACATTCCTCCACAACCTCTCAGCTTGGACCCAGCTCTCCAGGAAGATCCCAGATAGTCATAACTCATATATACCCAATAGACAGCCCACAAATGCTCAGGGATCTGGGGAATAGGGCATTTAAATGTTTAATTAAAAAGGCTTTCTGTAACAGAGAGACAGGTTGGCTCCTGGCAGCAACCCCTGCTTCCTCCAAAGAAGATGAATCGTCTGTAACTCGCTTCACGCAAAAGTGCTAACCATGGGGATACACTGCCTTTCATCTAAACTACTGCAAATCTCTTCAGACCATGGACAACAGGACACTGAGGAATCCTACAAACTCCTAAACCACAGGACCTTCTGAGCCTATCAGGCCCCATGCTGTCAGCCTTAAGATAGATGTTGCCCTAATGACCATGGCGGACCCTGGGGTGGGTGACTGTCTGGGTAGCCAATCCAGTAACTTCTCTGTCATTTTAAAATCAATAACTCAAGTAAAATTTTATCCTGATGCAGTTTGACAGCTGGGAGGTTTGCCAGTTTAAAGGGGACAGCCTCACAAACAGACTTCAGCATAGCGTCCGACCGTGTTTAAATAGAAGGTGTTTTCAGGGAGGCAAATGCACGTTATTAAGGTGTGTACATGCAAGTTATAAAGGTCTGAGGATAAAAGGCTTACGTGATGATAAAGGCAGGTGACTTGAAATCTTTAAAAGAATAAGGCAAATTCCAGAGTTCTTTCTTGCATTATGCTGCTGCTACTGTAGGGTCCAGAGTCTCGGCATAAACCAACAAGATTCCGACCAGCCACTAATCTGGCTCTGGCCGAGCACTGCCACTAGCATAACTCCAAGGATCAAGATTTTTTTTTCTTTTTTTAAGATTTATTTATTAGTATACAGTGCTCTACCTTCAGGTCAGAAGAGGGCACCAGACCTCATTACAGATGGTTGTGAGTTACCATGTGGTTGCTGGGAAGTGAACTTAGAATCTGGTGGTGGCGCACGCCTTTAATCCCAGCACTCAGGAGGCAGAGGCAGGCCGATCTCTGTGAGTTCGAGACCAGCCTGGTCTACAAGAGCTAGTTCCAGGACAGGCTCCAAAACCACTGAGAAACCCTGTCTCCAAAAAACCAAAAAAAAAAAAAAAGAACCTCTGGAAGAGCAGCCAGTGCTCTTAACCTCTGAGCAATCTCTCCAGCCCAAGATAAAGATTTTAAAATCTTTTTGGTGGCGTTCTAACTATAGACATAAAAAAGATACTTTTCATTGTGCAAAACCATCTGTCACGGGGCTAGAGAGATGGCTCAGATATTAAGAGCACTGGCTCCTCTTCCAGAGTTCCTGTGAGCTGGGAATTGAACTCAGGAACTCAATCTCTCCAGCCCAAGATAAAGAAGGGAGGAAAATTAGGATCCAGGCACACCCTGGCACAGTGCCTGCGTAACAGACAGTAAGTACCCTGTCCTTTTAAGAGACAAGCTCCGCCCACTCTCTTCTCTGCCCCCTCCCCTTTTTCTCTCTTCCCTCCTCCCCCTCCTCTCCTCTCAATAAACTCCACACTCAAACTTTGTCTGTACGGTGTATTCTGTCACCGCACAGCCTTCACCCGCAGTGTCATTTCCAGCAAGCTCAAGGCCATTGCCACTGTTGTTTGAGAAGGGATATAAACCAAAGTCTGGGGTAGGTGGGATGGCTTGCTGGGTAAGGGCACTTGCCCCCAAGCCTGATGAATTGCCTTTAGGACTCACACGATTAAAGGGGAAACACAACTCCTAAGAGCTGCCCTCTCAGTCTCTATGCCTAAGCAGTTGCTCCCTCAGGCGAATAAAGAGCAAGTGGTGAGGTCAGTACCTGGGAACTGGTGTGACCGCACCAAAGGTTCAGCTGGGAGATGAAGCTGTAGCAATGACCACAGTGTGCGTGACCTTTAATGCCACTGAACTGTGACCAAAATGACTACAATGGCAACTTCTATATTTTATCACAGTAAAAATTAAAATAGAGCAAAACAATTCTACTTTACTATCAATTCCCTGTGACCATTGCAAGCCTTAATTCAGCAGCTACATATAAGAAGTGAAATCCAGGCTTCACAGTACACTCCACTAATCCCAGCACTGGGGAGGCAGAGGTAGGCAGATCTCTTTGGGTTGGAAGCCAGCCTGGTCTACACAGGTTCCAGGCCAGCCAGGGCTGCAAAATGAGATCCTGTCTCAGAAACAGTAAAAGTAGCCCACCTTTAATCCCAGCACTGGGGAGGCAGACGCAGGCAGATCTCTGAGTTCCAGGACAGCAGGGCTACACAGAGAAACCCTGTTTTGGAAAAAACAAAAACAAAACAAACAAACAAACAAAAAACCCAAAACAACAAAAGTGAAGTGGGCTGAAGCAGGTCTGATCTGGCCATGATGGCACACACCTGTTATTCCAGCACTAGGGAAGCAGAATCAGAACTGTATTTGAGGCCAGTGTGGGCCACATAGTGAGGCCATTTCAAACAAAACAAAACAACGAAAAAGGGGCTGGAGAAACGGCTCAGCAGTTGGAAGGACTCTTCTTCCAGAGGACCGGGGTTCTGAGCACTGACACAATAGCTTATAACTGCTCTCACTCTAGTTCCAGGGGATCCAAAGCCTTCTCTGGCCCCTATGGCATCAGTCATGCATGTGGTGTACAGACACACATGTAGGCAAAATACTCATATTTGTAAGACTAAAAACTAAAAAAAAAAAAAACCAAACACCCCAAAACCTAAGAGCTGTGGGTGTAGTATGGTGGTTAAGCATTTGCCGAGTGACATGCACAAGGCCTTAGGTTTAATCCTTAGCACCAAAAGCGGTATGTATGTGTGTGGGGCAATCTGACTAGCCACTGAAGACAAGTGGTTCAATTAAACCCTGCCATAACGTTGGCATTGATGGCAAACACCAGCAGTCTTAGCATTGAGGAGGTTGAGGCAGGAGGATTATCTTAAATTCAAGTACCTATGTCAAAGCAAAACCATGTCTCAAAAAAAAACCAAAAAAACAAAAAACCAAGGGCTGGAGAGATGGCTCAGCGGTTAAGAGCATTGCCTGCTCTTCCAAAGGTCCTGAGTTCAATTCCCAGCAACCACATGGTGGCTCATAACCATCTTAAATGAGGTCGGGTGCCCTCTTCTGGCCTGCAGGCATACACACAGACAGAACATTGTATACATAATAAATATTTAAAAAAAAAAAAAACCAAAAGGCCAGGCATTGTGATATATACCTTTAATCCTAGCACTCAGGAGACAGAGCAGAGGCAGGAGGATCTCTGTGAGTTGGAAGACAGTCTGGTCTATACAAGAAGTTCCTGGCCAGCCAGACTCCTTAGTGAGATCTTGTATCAGAAAACAACAGAAGTAACTGGAGCGGTGGTGGCGCATGTCTTTAATCCCAGCACTTGGGAGGCAGAGGAGGGTGGATCTTTCTGAGTCTGAGGCCAGCCTGTTCTACAAAGCGAGTTCCAGGACAGCCAGAACTAGAGCCCTGTCACAGAGAAACCCTGTCTGGAAAAACAAACAAACAAACAAACAAACAAACAAAAACCCAAACCAAACAACAACAACAAAAAAGAACATCAATTTAAAAAAAAAAACCCACACTCAAAAGTGATGGGGCTCCTTATTCTTTTTTTTTTTTTTTTTTTTTTTCGAGATAGGGTTTCTCTGTGGTTTTGGAGCCTGTCCTGGAACTAGCTCTTGTAGACCAGGCTAGTCTTGAACTCACAGAGATCCACCTGCCTCTGCCTCCCAAGTGCTGGGATTAAAGGCGTGCGCCACCACCACCCGGCTGGGGCTCCTTATTCTGACAACACAGATGCCGCCACAGTGGACCGTGGAGGACTAAATGTCACGTGGCAGGGTCATAATGTCATACTCAGTATAGTACAGTGGAGGAGGAGAACTACCTGTGGTCTGGATTGAATTTATGGAAACTCAGGTGCTGCTAGGGAGGTAGTGATGGTGGGCAAGGAAGCAGCCACCCAGGTTGCCAGATTCTAGCCACATCTGGTCCAGTGGCCAGTCTATGTATTCCCCACTCCAGGAACTGCGAGGACTTACCTTGCCCCTATAATTACCCAGCTAGCCTCTCCTATGGAGGCAGCTCTAAGTGTGGGATGAGTAAAAGGGCCAGGACACCTTGCTGGTTTAGGAGCAGTGGCTTCAGGGGTTCTGTCCCTCCAGGAGGCAGGGCTCGGCTATAAGGTCAGGAGGTCAGATAGATGACACAGGGCGGGCTCACCATAGCTGCCCATAGCAGGAAGGTCAGACAGATCTTTATTGGGGGTAACCCGTTGACAACACAGACATCTAGGACAGGCGTAGATACTGGGGAACTGGGGCGGTACATCTCCATCAGTCTCATTCCGGCCTGGGTGAGGCTCAGGCATGTAGGAAGCGATTAAAGGCATTGTAAGCTGACTCCAGATCGAAGAGCATCTGGCGAACCTGGGAGTCATCCAGCTCATCAGAAGCGGACATTCCGCTCAGGGTCTGCAGCCTAGGGGCACAGGGGCAAGCGTATGAGCAGTAGGACTATGATGTCACCACGGGGCTGGCTCCACCTGCTCAGGACAGCCACTCACCATTGGCTGACTGTTTGGCGACCCTCAAAGTCTGGAGGCAGGTGGCTCATTCGGTGCATGGTCTCCATTAGCTCCCGTAGGTCCGGCTGAATCTACAGAGACGAGGGCCAGGCTGAGACCCTACCTACCTTGCTCTGTTCCCCTCCATCCAGGCCCGGGTTCCCTGCCCGACTCGCGCACCTCATCCATGGCGCGGATCTCCAGACGCAGTTTGTCCATGATTGTAATGAAGAGCTGGGAACACATGCATTAGGGATCCCATTCAGTAGTGGTGCAGAGACCCTTTGCGGCCTACAGACCTGTCACAGGGCCACGGTCCCATCCATCTTCCTCTCCACACTGTATACTAGCGGTTCCTTTCTGCCTGAGGACTACACCGAAGACCTGCCTAGGTTACCGACCTTCTGGGTCTACACACATTGGGGACCACAATTGTGAGAGTAGTGTGGGAATCTGGGGTACACAACCCCTTCAATCCGTGGCCCTGCCAGAGTAGATCACGTGTCTGTTTCCCTTCCCGGTCCCGAACTCAGTCATGGGGGACTTGGGCTCTATGGATGCTTCTCTCCTGAGCCACAGCTGTGGCGACCCCTCCCAGGTTACGGCTTAGCACCAGGAACTCCATGAATACACACTCATGACTGACCCAGGCTGGTAGTTCCTTCCCCCTAGTCCCCATAGGGCCCTCCCAGGAGCTGTAGGACACACCGAAACTACATCTGCGATGCAGCGGTTGAGATTGCCCTTGTCGTCCTTGATAGTGATGGGTCGGTCCTCCTTGATCCTCTCCATGGCGAGTGGGCAGTCCAGCTAAGGGGCACAGGCATGGTCTCAGGGCATCACCGGGCCTCCAGGAGGCCAGGGTATTATCCCCACATCCCACCACACCTTTCCTGCAGGATGGAGGGAAGGACCGGTTCACTCACCCTGAACTTCCGGCAAAACTCGTCAATGGAGCTGATCTCTGAGCCCTGAACCTGCCGAAAGGCAGCTTTGTACTGGACCAGGAGCCTGGAGCATGCGGCAGTGTATCTAGGGAGAGGACCAGTTGCTGCTGGGGGCTGAGAAGTGTTTAGCTTGGCTCACTGTGCTCCCCTTCAGCAAGTCTAGATACAGCAGCTTTCATGGAAGGGCCAAGAGGGCCAAAGACTTCCTAATGGGTCTGTAGACAAAGAGAGTTCTGGACAAGAGCAGGGAGGTAAGCCATAACTATCACAAAGAATCTGCATGGGCTGGCCAGGAACTCCGCACAAGAGCCCAGATGTCTACTCTATTCACCTCAGACCAAGGTGTCAGAAATCCCTTACCACCGGGCAGCTCCTGGTCCAGCCACACTGGCTTGTCCTCTCCGAACAAAGTGCCAGTATCCATGCTGGACAGTGATATCTTAGACTATGCTGTCCCCAGGCGGCAGCTCACCTCCCGAGGGCAGAACCATACTCACCCTTACAAAATGTCCCTGGCTAACATGGCCCCGAAGCTGGTAGCCACCAGGACTACCCCATAGCTTAAGTCCTGGACCTACATTTGTGTTGCCTACTGAACCCATGAGCGTCAGGGAAGGGAGAAACATGCTTCTGAGAATTGGTGGCCACGAACACCTGAAGCCACAGGCTTGCTCACTCATTAGGGGTGACACAGTCCTTGATGTACGCTTTCTCCAGGGCCTGCATGGTCTTCACCACTGCAAACAGCTCCGCCATGTTGTCATACCTAAGACACAGCCATCCGTCAGGGCACAGCTCTGAGGCGGGGAACCCAGGGCAGCCACCTGCTGCTCTGTAGCAATGGCACATTACAGCCCACCCCTCACTCCATTCCTGGTAGATAATCCTCAGGAACTGTCTCCCTAGCCTGACCCCATTTCCTCCCCAACCACTGGTGTGGTGGTAGCTTTGGGAGGAGACCGCTGGGCCTGCCACGGAGGCCGGATGGGCGCATGCGTGTGCTCAGATATTTGACTTACTTCTCCCGCTCCCGAGCATTCTTGTACAGCTTTACTTCCTGTTGGGAAAGTGGGCAAGACAGCCAGCATCAGTAGGTAGTTACGGAACCAGCGACTGTCACATGGTGTTTGCAGTGGCTGTGGCCAGTTAAATATCTACTACTTACCTCATACAGCTCCGGCTTGTTCCCAGGGGCTGCAACAGAGCAGGCGGGAGCTGACAGGTGATCACAAGACGACCCTGGGGCTGTCCCATCTCAGCTACTTCCCGTGCCATGTACCAAAGAGCTCAGAGGGAGCTACAGAATAGGGGTTCTAGCCTCACCTCCTACCAGTACTGCCTCTAAGAGCCTACAGACTGAACACTGGATTTAGCTCTCCACCCACAGCAAGGTGATCATACTTTGTCGATAGAACTATTACATGGTACAAATAAAAGTCTGCGTGCTTCACAGCCTAGGGTTGGAAACCCAGAGATGCTCAGGATACCAGAGGTTCTGGCCACATTGCAGTTCATTGTCTCTACCCCGCAGGGCACTGTTGGGCCCTCAGAATCCACCATAAAAGGCTCTGGCACTCGCCACCCCCAAGGCCTATGAATATGGGATGGAGGTGGCAGTGTGGTCCCTTCCCCAACAGTCCCTGCAGCAGGGGAAGCCTGGGCCCCTCCGTTTTCTTCCTGCTTAGGCTACACTCACCTCCAACGCCAGGAGTAGCTGGGATTCCGTGAAACATCCTGCAGGCCCTGGCAGCTACAGCACAGAGACCTGGGAAGCAAAGCCAACACTAACTCAAGGGGTCCCTGACACCTCAAGAACAGGGCTCTGGCGGGGGTGTGTCAGTGCTTTGTGAATAGCTTTTCTACTCTCTTAGGAACAACAAAGGATGCTACGGACTGTCATGGGGTAGCCAGGAGAGTCCTTCCTGGAAGCTTGGTTAAGGTAGGGAAGAGCAGCTGATGGAAGAATCGGGGTAGCATCTTGAGCTTCGGGGAAGGGCCCAGTGTTGCAACACCTTTCAATGGAAATTAGAAGAACTGGGTGTCTAGGGCTATGGGGAGTGTGAGTGGAGGAGGGTTTCACCCTAATTCTGTGGGAGCTACTGGAGGAATGAACCAAGGCAAGCTTGTTGGTTGATGCCTTCTAGAAAGGGTGGAAGCAGGGCCCAGGGAAGGTCTTGTCCAATAAGGAAGTTGAGGTCAGTGGCTTAACCAGTTAAAACCCGCCTCAGGTTTTGAAATTGGGCGAAAACTAAAATTCAAGGAAGGTAGGCAAACTGAGATGGAGTGGCCCGATGAGGAGCCTGAGATACTGAGGTCGCAGGAGCTAGGAACAGCCTGCGGAGTCCCCGGAGAAAGGTGAGCACCCTCACAGTCAGGGAAACCTGAGCTACGAGCCAGTAATGCCACCTGACAGCGCCCACCGACTACTGAAACACGGACCGCGCGGCAAGGGCCGCTGAGCCCAAAGGAGACGGGATCGGGCCTCTTAGCTCAAAAGGCTCCTATGCTGCGGGACCCAGCCATAGCTGCCGCGTACCTGGGGCGTTTGGAATCCCGGAGATGGCGACAGCAGCTCGGTGCTCGCTTTTTCCGCCTGCGCCTGCCGGGAAGCCCGATCGGCAGCTCGGCGCTCATTCTCCCAACTTAAGCCTACGCACAGAGCAAGGCCAATCAGTGGGTCGGCGCTCGTCCTCTGTGCCTGAGCTTGCGCTCTGGGGCAGCAGCGCTTGTTAAGGATCTAAGTCACATCGTCCACCCCTTTCCCAGACAGACACACAAATGGGACAGGCGCTTAGTTTATTAAAGTTTCTTTTTTTTTTCCTCGGGGGGGGGGGGGCAGAAACGATAGGGCCAGGATCAGAAGCATTTAAAGAAGAGCTTGGGACCTTGGTCCAGTGAGCAGGCGCTGGCCGGCAGTCTCGCACCCAGGGCGTCTCGGTCCCCGTTGCTCAGGTGTCTGCTGCACAACTGCAGCTCCTGCAGCTGCACGAAGATCTTGTCCCAGAGGTCGGAGCTCAGGGGCCCCTGGATGGAGCAGCCTGTGGGGGCAGGGGGAAGTAGGTTTAACTTGTAGGCAGACTTTTCCATCTCACACACAGGAGGCGTGGTGCTCATGCCGTACCTCAGAGCCTACATTTTGGCTTGCCCCAATGTAAAATGTACCCAACAAGGCTTTGAAATCTGTATCTAGTGGGCCCAAGGATCTCTGGAGGCTACTGACTGCCAGGACTCGATCATTAGGCCTGAGATACCAGTAGGCTCAGGGTATCAGGGAGCTGTAGGAAATGGCACAGGTGCCAGAAGTACCAGGGTGCAGGAAGCGGGGAGATGCTCAGGTTTTATCAAATTTCAGCTGAACAAGGCAGTGCCTGGCCAGTCCACCGGTACAGCTCTAAGGTGGAGAACGCTTTGGTGGTAACAAAGCTCATTTACGAGCAGGGAGGGTGTGGGTAACGCCCCCTACCAGGAAGGAGGCAAAGAGAGTCCTTTAGTGGAGCTGGTAGCACCTGGATTCCAGTCATCTTCCTGCCCACAAGAACGAGGAAATAATTCCCTGTACTGGACCCTGGTTTGCTACTCTCCCGACCCAGAAAGCCCTGTATTGTCATGCAAATCAAGAGGTTCTAATCTTCCAGTTCACTTTCAGAACACCTGTGAAACTGCCTAGGCAGTCAAGAGTATGCATGCCTATCTGAAAAGTCACCAAGTATCTGGAAGATGGCACCTTAAAAAAACGAGGTGTGGGGGCTGGAGAGATGGTTCAGCGGTTAAGAGCTCTGGCTGCTCTTCCAGAGGACCTGGGTTCAATTCCCAGCACCCTACATGGTGGTGGCTCACAATTATCTGTAATGAGATCCGGTGCCCTCTTCTGGCATGCAGGTAGAGCACTGTATACATACAAAATAAATTTAAAAAAAAAGTATGAACTGCTTTTGTAGGAGCTTTTGGTTGGGTTCCTTGACCCCACAATTATAATTCAATTCCAGGGTTACAAGACATGTGCATGGTGCACATACAGGCAAAACACTCATACAAAGAAAAGAAAACTGAGCAAATCTTTTTGTTTTGAGACAGGGTCTTTGTATAGCCCTAGCTGTCAGCTAATCTAAATTAATCGTGCATATCATTAATCTGGCACACACCACCACGTCTTGCACAAAGCAAGTAAATCTTTGTTTTTTTGAAAGCTCTTAAAAATAGATGCAAACAGGGCTGGAGAGACTGCTCAGAGGTTAAGAGCACTGGCTGCTCTTCCAGAGGTCTTGAGTTCAATTCCCAGCAACCACATGGCAGCTCACATCTGTAACTTTAGTTTCTGGGAATCTGATACCTTCACACCAATGCACATAAAATAAAGTTAAATAAATTACTTATTTTTAAAAAAGCATTGGGCCTGGAGCAATGGCTCAGAGGTTAAGAACACTAGCTATTCTTCCAGTGCTCTTAATCCCTGAGCCATCTCTCCAGTCCCAATTCTTAATGCTTTTTATTGTTTTGTTAAGGTTTTTCTTTCCTTTTTTTTTTTTTTTTTTTTTTTTTTTTTGTTTTTTTTTTTTTTTTTTTTTGGTTTTTCGAGATGGTTTCTCTGTAGCTTTGGAGCCTGTCCTGGAACTAGTTCACTAGCTCTTGTAGACCAGGCTGTCTTCAAACTTACAAAGATCCGTCTACCTCTACCTCCCAAGTGCTGGAATTAAAGGTGTGCACTGTCAGTGCCCGGCTAGCAAATCTCTGAGTTTGAGGCCAGCCTGGTCTACAGAGTTCCAGGACAGCCAAAACTACACTGAGAAACCCCACCTCAAAAAAACAAAACAAAACAAAAACAAAAAAAAAACCCTCTCCTACAAAAAGACAAATAAATAATAAATATTTGTTTGTGTGTGTACTGGTGTTTTGTCTGCACGTCCACCTATGTACCATGTGAAATTAGTCTGCCTGCAGAGGCCAGAAGGCAGCTTCACGTCCCCTGGAACTGGAGTTACAGAGGTTGTGAGCTGCCATGTGTGTGCTGAGAACTGGGGTTCTCTGGAAGAGTAGCCCTTAACCGCTGACCATCTCCAGAGTCTCCTTTTATTTATTTATTTATTTTTGAGTTCAATTCCCAGCAACCACATGGCAGCTCACATCTGTAACTTTAGTTTCTGGGAATCTGATACCTTCACACCAATGCACATAAAATAAAAAAATATTTATTTTTGAGGCGGGGCTTCACTATGTAGCTCAGGACATTGTTTGAAGTAGTCTGCCAGAGTCTCCCTCGTGCTGGGTTACAGGTATGAGCCATATCTGGTTCTTTCCTGCCATATTCTGAATAACCAGAGGCAGTCTCTCACCCCTGGCCCTGTTACACCATAAGTTGCCTTTCACCAGGACAGCCTCCTAGAGTGACTGCCCCTTCCTCTGACAGGTCTCTGGAGGGTAAGTCCTGCGTTAGGTGATACATGGTAGGAGACCCTGTAGCTTCCAGCTCTTACCTGACAAGCCAAGGAAACTGAGGCCTTGGGGCCGCTCCTGGAGGGCAGACAAGAGCTCCTCCAGACTGGCACAGCTGACCTCAGGATTGGCAGACAGGTCCAGAGAGACAAGTGAGGGGCAGCAAGGGAGGCATCTGGAATAACATGGGAAGTGAAGGGCTGAGCGTCCAGGGAAAGCCCTAGCTTTATTACCAGGGAAGGCTGACCCGGACGAACCCACAGCTCTGGGAGGCAGGGACCAAGCCTAGCAGAATCCAGACTCCTGGTCCAGCTTGGCACAGCACTAGTTAGAGGCAAGACTACTATGGCCACCTTTGAACAAGCTGACACGGCCCTGAAAGACAGCCGAGCCACCAGGAGCGTGATGGGGGGTGGAGGAAGAAACACTTCACCAAGGAAAATAAAGGATAGACCAGAGAAAAGTTCTCGAATGACAGACTTGAGGTTACGTAAGGACGCCTGCCAGAGCTATCCCCGGAGACAGCGGAAGTCAGAAAGAGGAGACGCCCTGACCCATCTCTCACATCAGGGTCCTTCACGGGACAGTAGGTGGCTGCGGGAAGGTGTGTTACCTGCTCAGTTCTCTCACAGCCTCGTCACTCAGGTAGTTTGCAGACAGGGTCAGGTGGGCCAGAGCACAGCCTTCCTAGACACAAGCACAGGGCAAAAGGCCATGCCTAGTGGGCACCTAGCCACCTTCCTCCCGGCAGAGACCCACACCTGAGAAAGCTGTTTGGAGATGAAAAGGAACCTCTCTTCCAGGCTACAGATTACAGATGGCTTATAAAGATCATAGGGCTGGGCTGGAGAGATGGCTCAGCGGTTAAGAGCACTGGCTGCTGGCTGGGCAGTGGTGGCGCACACCTTTGATCCCAACACTTGGGGGGCAGAGGCAGGTGGGTCTCCATGAGTTGGAGGCCAGCCTGGGCTACAAAGTGAGTCCCAGGACAGTTAGGACTGTTACACAACCACTGCTGCTCTTCCAGAGGACCTGAGTTCAATTCCCAGCACCTACATGGCAGCTCGTAACTGTCTGTCTGTAACTCCAGTTCCTGGGGATCTGACACCTTCACACCAATGCACATAAAGTTAAAAAAAAAAAAATCACAGGAGCCTGGTGTATCCTTGTAACTTGTCTGAAGTAATACCGTCCCAGGAGCCCATGGGTGTTTCCTCTCCTCAAATTCTGCACAGTACTGCATGGATTCAGCTGTAGCACCTTGGGTTTGGGGCCTACAATGAACAGAACATTGTGTTCTGGCTTGGCAGTCCCCTCCATACCTCATACCTTGGTCAGGTATTTGATAACAGGCTCCATGAGACTCAGGGTGCTCTTGCTGGCTGCCACAGAGCTAAGCTCCAAACGTAGGAGGGCACGGGCCGGTAAGTTCTGCAGCACCCTTGCCAGGGCAGGAGCACCGAGCGTATTGTAAGACAAGGACAAGGTCTTCAGGTGCTCAGTGTCTGTACAGGGCAAGAACTTTCGTCAAGGCATACAGATACCCACTGCCCTCTCCTTACCCTAGAGTTCTGACCCCAGAAACCTTGTGAAGCCTTTAAAGAAACTGCTACCCAGCCAGGCAGTGGTGGCACACACCTTTAATCCCAGCACTCAGGAGGCAGAGGCAGGCGGATCTCTGTGGGTTTGAGGGCAGCCTGGTCTACAAGAGCTAGTTCCAGGACAGGCTCCAAATCTACATAGAGAAACCCTGTCTTGAAAAACAAACAAGCAAAAAAGAAACTGCTACCTCTGAATTTTTCTTTCTTTCTTTTTTTTTTTTTTTAAGATTTTATTTATTATGTATACAGTATTCTGTTTGCATGTGTGTCTGCAGGCCAGAAGAGAGCGACAGATCCCATTATAGATGGTTGTGAGCCACCATGTGGTTGCTGGGAATTGAACTCATGATCTCTGGAAGAGCAGACAGTGCTCTTAACCTCTGAACCATCTCTCCAACCCCGTTTTTTTGGTTTTTTTTTTTGTTTGTTTGTTTGTTTTTTGAGACAGGGTTTCTCTATAGCTTTGGAGCCTGTCCTAGAACTAGCTCTTGTAGACCAGGCTGGCCTCGAACTCACAGACATTCGCCTGCCTCTGCCTCCTGAGTGCTGGGATTAAAGGCATGCA